TTGGCTATTGCTACAAATATACCCCAGCGACTTAACACTGCTTTTGTGCTGCAGGGACACATATATCATTTGCCTGGTTTTATTATTGCACTTTATATATTTGCGTCTGTAGATTTCAAATACAATACATATTTTTAAAGGTCATTTTCTCTGAAAAAAAAAAAAAATTCTCCTTTGTTTGTCTATATGTCATTCACACTGATTTATACAACATTTCAAACAATGTTGTTGTTTTTTTTCTTTCTGTTGGTTGACAGTATTTTATAGTGATATGTATACGTTAAAATGTTTACCATATTGTGTGTCGGTAAGTATTTTTTTTTCAAATAAATTAATAATTTTACTCAACAAGGATGCATTAAATTGCATTAAGCAAAAGTGCTTTTAATTCCCCCCCCCCAGAAAAATATTGTGCAGCACGACTGTTTTCAACATTGATAATAATCAGAAATGTTTCTCGAGCAGCAAATCAGCATATTAGAATGATTTCTGAAGATCATGTGACACTGAAGACTGGAGTAATGATGCTGAAAATACAGCTGCGCATCACAGAAATACATTACAGTTTAACAGATATTCACACAGAAAACATCTGTTTTAAATTCTAAAAATATTTCACCATAGTACTGTATTTTTGATCAAATAAATGCAGCCTTGGTGAGCAGAAGAGACTTCGTTCAGGAACATTACAAAACCTTACCGATCCCAAATGTTTGAACACTAGTGTGTGAGCATCTATAAGCTGCAGAATGTGATTTCTTTGGTTTGAGGGTGACATGTGAGCGGCTGCTGCTGACCGTGAGGACAGGCTGGGTTTGCCGCTCTTGCTGCAGCTGCTGTAGATCCCCGGCCCATCGTCAAAGAAACTGCCCAGCGCCAGCTTCTGCCGGATGGACTCCCGCTCATTCTTCTGGGCCTGAGACAGAAACACAGGAGGACGAGTTGAAGACGAGCACACAGAGAGCAGCAGGTGGCAGCAGCGAGACGTGAAGCACATGAACATCACACGCTACAGAACACTACAGGAGACCTTCAGACCCCGAAGACACACTGTATGCACAAACACATGCGGACACACTCTCATTAATATACATGTAAACAATAATACATTTTTATTTGGTTGTAAATAACATGCAATTAAGTGCCTAAACGTCACATGAAGTCCACACTTAAGTATATTCTATTAATTACTTCCAAAATGAGTTCTCTTCACTGGAATTACTGCATCGAGCCCGTTAAGTGCCATTAGTTGAACTAACTGAAGTAGGACATAACTACATCTTTATAAGTAATTTCATGATTAGGCTACTTCTATTGTCTTTGGAATATGGTTAAAGTACCATATTATAAATGGCATTTCTATTGAAACTCGTGCATTTCATCCATGTGACCGTAATTATAAACAACATTTAAAATAAACAACATAATAATAAACAGCATTTAAAAATTCAATTCATTATGTTAATGTTACAAATTGTCTCGAGTAGACTGTAATATTGTGACACACGTCTGACTCGAAACTCTTCAGAGCGAACGATCAGTGAGAGCAACGCTGAGCAGAGCAAAGGTGCACATGCTTTAAACCTTTTAAAAATGGAACGAAAACGGCAAAAATCAACAAAATGGTAAAATACATCCATCAAGCAGGTAAGCACCCTCAAAAGAAGGCAAGAGCACCCTCAGTTGAAGCTCTAATACTAACACATGGGCGAAACAGATCTGGCAAATTATCCAGTGTGTATTTGTGTTTGCGCTCTAGAGAACATAAAAGGTTTCTATTTACAACGTGTTTTACTGCGTTTAAAACCGAAAGTCCGAAAGAACGCGAATCGATTCAGACCATTTTGCAAAGATGTTTAGTCAGTTCAGTGAAAGAACTCAAAAGAATGATTAATCCATAATTAAAGGCATGGCTGGTTCAGTCAACAGAAATACGGGACTGCTGAAATAATTGCACGGCAGACATTTCTCAGGTCAGTCGGAGTGCTCACAGTGCATTCAGCCGTACAGCTGCAGGCGCCACCGAACGTAATCACGTTACCATTAAACTCAGATCTATCACTGCAGCAGACCCCACTCACTCACTCCCTCTCACACACACACTCACTCACTCACTCACTCTCACACACACACACACACACACACACAAATCATGCCGATGAGCTGGAAAGATGGGAACGTTCTGGAGAGTTCTGCTGTTACAGTTACAATGGGAGTGTGTCATATGTATCATCATAACTGTTGTTGTTATGATGTATGATCTGACGTCATTGAGTATGCCAATCACTTTGCAGAAACAATAACTGCCTTGATAGTCCACACATTCACTGTGTAATATAGCTTATTAAAATGCAGTTAGAATGACCCCAAAATTCAATACACGAGGGCAAAAATGCCCTAAGTGAGATTCTGTGTTATATTTCTATATGACATAGTTTAGCAATATCACACGAGCAAGACTGCTGTTTTCCAGAATATCAGAACCATTGCAAATATGATTATTGATTTTATAAAACAGTTCAAAGTCTTTATAATTGTGAGTTACACTTTACGCACAATATTGTCTGTTTTTGCTCAGTTATTTTTGCTTCAATTACCTTTTCAAATTATTTTCTGTAATAATTTATTGCATGCATTCTTGTGTATTTCTCTATTCAATCCTAAATGTATTTATTTGTGTATTCATTTATTCTTTTTAAATGTATTAATTGCTTCATTTTAATATTTCTATAAGTGTTTTATTTCCATGCTGATGCGTTTCTGTGACAGGGTTTTATCAAACAACACATTATGAGACGAATGAAGCTGAACAGAGCTCTTCAATCATCTAAAAGATAGCCTAGATACATGCAAAAACACAGAAAAATGAATTACATATTTATAAAAACAAATATATTCTGGAATAAATTTTGCATTTTTATTTTTGCAGGTTCTGTCATGCACACACACACAGATTCATCTTTATTGTGTGTGAGTAAATAATGAAGGTCACGGGTCAGGTTATTATTTTGTTTTTCTGCATGTGAGAGAGACAGAGCAAGTGTGTGTGTGTGTGTGTGAGGCAGAGACAGGCCGGCACCAGTCGTCTCCATGCGGGCGGTTGCCTGGATACCGGCCTAATCGAGGGGCCCCTGGAGGATTGGCCCCGTCCCCAATACACACACATTATTTCCTCTCTCTGCTCCTCACCTGCACTGTCTTCAGCTCTCGTGCTGTTATTGTGTCATATTTCTGCTCTCTGATTTCTAACGGTCTCTCTCTCCATGTAATGCAGAGATTCTCCATTAGCACATTGTTTCAGGTGTGTTTGCTCTCTATCAGTTCTTACAGTCTCTCATTTCCTTTCTGTCTGTCGTTCCTGTTTCCTTCCTCTCTATCTGCTTCATCTGTGTGTGTGTGTGTGTGTGTGGCAGTGTGTTGTGCATATGCTCATGCTGTCTTATTCTATCTCACGCTGCTCTCTACTGGCCTACAATTTAAAAAATGTTTCTGGTTCTTGTTTGCAGATAAATCCTAGTTAAACTATCACTCCCAGCACTATACTGTATATGTGTTAATTATCCACTGTAACCCTTAAGCACTCGTTATTTAATCCCCATGACATTTCTGTTTTAAAACCTGCAACAACCTTTCCACCATGTTGCAGTTCAAATGTTTTGGGTCTCAATGTTACAGGCTTGAAGAATACACTAGTGTTTGAGTTCTGTAAGATTTTATAATGTTTCTGAAAGAGTCTCTTCTGCTCACCAAGGCTGCATTTATTTGATCAAAAATACAGTAAAATCAGGAAAATTTTGAAATATTATTACAATTTAAACTAGCTGTTTTCTATGTAAATATCTGTTAAACTGTAATTTATTTCTGTGATGCGCAGCTGTATTTTCAGCATCATTACTCCAGTCTTCAGTGTCACGTGATCTTCAGAAATCATTCTAATATGCTGATTTACTGCTCGAGAAACATTTCTGATTATTATCAATGTTGAACACAGTCGTGCTGCACAATATTTTTGTGGAAACTGTGATACATTTTATTTTTCAGGATTCACAGATGAATAGAAAGTTCAAAAGAACAGCATTTATTTGAAATAGAAATCTTTTGTTACATTATAAATGTCTTTACTGTCACTTTTGATCAATTTAATGCGGCCTTTATGATTAAATGCATGAATTTCAATAATAAACAAAATTACTAAAGCATTCATTTCAATAATAATACTTTCTTTCATGTAAAATATCTTATTCTCTTTCATGTTCTCTTTTAAATCTCTCGTTCTCTCTCAAACTCATCCTGAGGTTGGTCTTTCCAAAAATAAAGGTATTTAAACTTTTCCTGTGGTTTTCTGTGGAAGATCAACCATCTTGTTACACGTTTCTCTCTCTCTGTTTTTCAGTCCCTCTCTTTGCCTCCAGATAAATGCACACACACACACAGACACAGACACACACACACACACACACACA